GTCATACCAATGTTTTATCTTTATTGGTAAAAATTAGGCTACTGCTAAGGAAAATAGGAGGAAGATAGCTAGCTTGAACCAGGTATCAAGGAAAAGAGAGAAGTTCTTAAAATATTAAAGAATGTGGTAGCATCCCTTGCTTGAAGGAAATGTTAAGTGAATAGGGATAACTTATAGGAGTGAAGAGTACATGGCTATAATCAGTAAAAATGCTTCTAGCCCCAAGTTAAATTATGAGGTATGTACAGCTTATCCCATATTTCTTCATTTGTATTTTTCTACAATTATTCTTCCTTTCAAGATCTTTTACTGTCATGCAATTTTAGAACTCATCATTAAATCATGACTCCAAGAATTTGGTCACTTCAAATATTATGGATCTCACTCCTCGTTTTTGAAGCTTGACTTGAAAGATAACTGATTCAATGATGGTCTAGTTGGAATTGATATATAAGAAATAACTCATTATGGCTAATGAGCATGTTAAAATGTTTACACCTTAATTTGTGCTCACAAACAGAGTATTATACTGTTATTATTTAACAGAACTAGTAACTGAAAGTTACAAAGGGGACTCTTTTCCATATTCCTCATATCTAAACATCGCTATCTCTACACTAAACTAAACATATACTGTATTACTGGATTGTAAAACTAGACCACTCATCCAGAAGCCACCTTGTCTTGTAGCTTCTTCCTAATGCACACACTTTTTTAAAAATTTTTTTTTAGAGAGAGAGAGAGAATTTTTTAAATATTTATTTTGTAGTTTTCAGTGAACACAACATCTTTGTTTTGTATGTGGTGCTGAGGATTGAACCCGGACCGCATGCACGCCAGGCGAGCGTGCCACTGCTTGAGCCACATCCCCAGCCCGCACACATTCTTTCAATGTTACAAAAGCTGGCTACTAAGGTAACTTGCCTTACACATCTTTCACATCCATAAATCCACCTGTGCTTCTTTCTCCCATGCCTTCTTCGAGCTTAAGACTCAGGTTCTCACCATACATTCAAGAATTCATCTCTGCAATGGAACTGTCCCTTCTGTTCATTGTGACTCTTTTCCCTCTGACTAGCCACAATTTTCTTACAATTCTCCAAGTTGAGGTATAGTTAAGTGTCAAGATTTTTTAAGCAGTATTTTGAAAATACTACCAAAGCAATATATAAATTTAGCAGGACTTGGAAAAATAAAGTGAAGGATCAAAGACAAATTTACCCACATATTCTCATCCCTGCAAGAGTAAGAATGATAGCAACAGGACTTGCCATCCCTCAAAATGGTGCATCTTATCACAGAGAAAAAGGGAAGAAAGGAAAGGGGGAAGAAAGACCAAGATATAATCTGGGGTTCCAGGTAATTTAGTAAACTTAATCATGGATTATTCATACAAAAGGAGTATGACAGGAAGACAGCTCTGTTTCCATTTTTACAAGGTGGCAGTTTGGGGAATAACCCCGTTTCTATAAACCCAAGTTATCAATTTTAGCCAACACTAAAATATGGTGACAGAAAAAAAATGCTTGGATTGGTTCATGTAAAAAGACAAGCTAGAACATGTAAGAAGATTGTTCCAGAGACAGGAATAATCCTGATGCCCATCAGACAATCGGTTCCGCCTCCAGATAGCCCATAGAACATCCAACATTAGAAAAACTCAGAAAACTTCCATCAATCATCTGCATACTTTTGGTACACTTGAATGTTCCTTGTCTTAGAGACAAATTATCCAGATGTCAAACTAATTTTTTTGGTTTCCACTTGAAAGCTTTGTGTCACCTAGGTCCAGTCACCATTGAATTAGTTTTATTCCCTTTCCCCCATCCTTATTGAGCCATATTTCTGAAAACACTTTATTGTTATATAACATAGGCTGGAGAATGTGATTAATGTGATATTAGAGTTCACTGTTCTGCCTTCCATATATATCCTGTTCATTTCATATCACTGCTTTTATTCACATCTCTGTTCCTATCTTCTTTGTTTTCACAGAAAACAACTGAGAATTAAGTCCTCAACTCTTCGTTGTATTCTTAGTACCATGTTGTTACCTGCATTCCACCTCATTCATAGATGCTTGTCCAGTGGCTTCAACCATAGCACCCAGGTAACCAGAATTCAAAGAGCAATACTGCAAAGATAAAACTCAATGCTAGAATTTTATCCAACGTGAATGTCCCTTCCCTGGTTCTAAAGATATTTTATGATTTTTCAAGGTCACCATTAAAAATGTTGAAGGCTACTGGAACAGAGTTGAAGAATGCTGCTATTAACATGATATGTAATGTCATAACCTTGTGTAACATCCTTCCATGGTTGTCCAAAACCCAGGATAAATTTAGATACATCCCAACCAACTTCATATTTTCTCATCTCTTGGCACCTGCAACAGCAGTTCACACAATCTCAGACATTTTTCTGTCTTTCAGATCCTCAGAATTACAGTAATCCCTCTTGGTACACCTCTTTGCCCTGTTTTCTTCTATAAGAAACCCTCCAACCCATTTTTCTCCTTCCCTAAGCCATCGTCAGATTTTTAAAAAATATTTATTTTTACATTACAATTCTTTTTTTTGGATTAAAACAAAAATTAGCTTTATTAAGAACTTTGCAATTATTTTTGAGATAAGCAAATTTTTTCATAATATAATGAATCAAATTGAGATGCTACATAGGAATGATGGTAGAATAACTATATTGCTAATGCCTGCTGAGTCTTTTGTATATTTCAGTCCTTCTTTATTATATTTCAAATTATTCAGAACCCCAGAAATCTTATTTTAATTGGGCTAAAACTAAAATCACAGCCAACAAAATGAAGCAAACTATTTGATGATTTTTCTTTTTATTGGTATATGAGATTAAAAAGCATTAGCTCTGTGAACACATTTATTGATAAAGCTATCTAAATTATAACTCCAGTTCTTCTGGATAAAATTCTAGTTATGAATTCAATAATGCATACAGCCAAAATTTCCAGATGTTACCCTTTACACTTTATAGAGATGGTTCTTAATAAGGTTTCTTCTCCAAATAGTTATTTTTTAACTAAATAATGTCTAATAATTTATGTATATAAATCTAGGTATATTTGGCTAACGAACTTTGTTTAGTAGTCTTGCATTTATATTTTATTTTTTTTTCTATTTTTCTTTCTCAGAGAACAAATCTTGAGAAAGGGAGGCATGAAGTGCATATATTTTTTCTTTCCGTTTCACTATACATTACGAATTTTAAAAGCTATTTTCTCTTAATTATGTCCAAAATGCAATATCATTAACCTAATAATTTCCAGCTTAGGAAGATAGTATAATTTTTAAGTATAGTTGGATTATGTGAATAGAAAGCAAAATTATTTTCTCCTTCATGGCTGGTGTCTCTGTTTTAAGGTAGTGTGTAAACAAAAAGTATAGTCTCTGATATTCATTTGAATGTTGTACTAAGAAATATACATAGCCTGCACCGTAAAGTAATTTTTTTTTCTTTTTTCTTTTTTTTTAATCTTTTTTTTTATTGGTTGTTCAAAACATTACAAAGCTTTTGACATATCATGTTTCATACATTAGATTCAAGTTGGTTATGAACTCCCATTTTTACCCCAAATACAGATTGCAGAATCACATCTGTTACATATCCACATTTTTACATAATGCCCCATTGGTAACTGTTGTATTCTGCTCCCTTTCCTATCCTCTACTATCCCCCCTCCCCTCCCCTCCCATCTTGTCTCTCTACCCCATCTACTGTAATTCATTTCTCTCCTTGTTTATTTACCCATTCCCCTGGCAACCTCTTATGTGTGATTTTGCATAACAATGAGCGTCTCCCTCCATTACCATGCAATTTCCCTTTTCTCTCCCTTTCCCTCCCACCTAGTGTATCTGTTTAATGTTGATCTTTCCTTCCTGCTCTTCCTCCCTGCTCTGATCTTGGTTGTTCTCATTATATCAAAGTGCATTACAATTCTTAATACACCATTCATCTTCAGATCTTAACAAAAGCATCATTCCCTCCATTTGAGAAAGGTTCCACCTTATAAGTCAAATTCCTCAATTACATGTCCTCATAATATACATAATTATGGACTGCAATATATAACCCTAAGAATATGTATTGCAGTCCATAATTTTTTATTTCTTAGATCACTGGAATAATGTTAAATTTCCCCTCACTGAACTATAAGCAACATGAAAGCAGAGCCTTACCTGGTTCACTCGTCCTGAAACAACAAATGCCTAGCACAGTTCTTAGCAGAAAAGGAGGTTGTTTAATAACACTTATGAATGAATGAATGAATACATGAATAAATGTGATTTTTCCTTTTGACTACTTGAACACACGTTCTTTTAAAAATTTTATTTGTTATTTTTAGATATATGTGACATAAGAGTATGTTTTGATCTATTTATGCAGCATGGAATATATCTTATTCTATTTAGGCATACATATTCATATTTGGACCATTCACATAAGTTTACATATAAGGAGGAGTAAATATTTTTAAGTGTATTTTAACTAGAAATTGACTTTTTAAGTTAGATATCATGCAAATCATTTGAAAATTTCATTATTAGAAACTCATAGCACTTTGTTTCCTTAATCAAATATACTATTCTTGGTAATAGTTAAATGTGATACTGGTATGAAATTTGTTAGAGATTTTTGAATATGTGAAAATGACTTCACACCCTTGGCTAAAAGATGAACTAATACTCATATCAATGACAGTTTTCAAAACAATGTGACCTCTTCTGAATTCAGAGAATCAATGAAAATGTCAATTACTGCTTGATGCACAGGCAGAAAAGAATATAGTCTTGTCTGTACTTCTCTTGTACTGCAAGACTTATGCTTCTGTTCTATTTTCTGAACAATCTAGTAAAATTCAATTTACTTTTTCAATTTGTCTCCAGCCAAGCTTCCTTCTGTCAACTACGCAGACATTTCAATGCTGGCCACATCAAGTCACAGGAAAAGGACAATGAAAATGAAATTACCTGTGCATTTGCGATCTGTGTCTTCCTTTTTTGACCCACTAATGGTCAACTTGCAGTTGAAGTTCTCCTCCCAATACTCGGCAAACCACACATTTCTTCTGTTGTTTTCAAGGGTGCGAGATGTGAAGTAGGCATCAAATCCTAAACAGAGTTGAAGGAAAAGGTCAGTGTTTATGGGGCTCTCCGGACACATCTAGAAATAAAAACGCCAGTGATGGTTTTTCTTCGGTTCAGTAGACAAAGTGCTTTTTATGTCAATCAAAAGCAAAAATCATCATCGATAAAAGACGACAAAAACACATATTCCAAGGTCATGAATGAATCTGCCAGACTGATGTGTGGCCTAGAAATAACACTGGCACAGTGAAATTTGCATCAGAGAGCCTAGAAATGACATAATGATGACAACATGTTTGCATTTCTGATGAGCTAAAATAGGACAAAACATTCTCAACAGCATCATCAAGATAATAACTGCCAGCTAGATGCACTGGCACACACCTGTAATCTCAACAGCTCAGGAAGGTGAAGGAGGCAGATCACAAGTGCAAGGTCAGCCTTAGCAACTTATCATGCCCTTTCTCAAAATAAAAAAAAAAAAAAAGGGCTGGAGATGTGACTCAATGGTTAAGAGCCTCTGGGTAGATACTATTATTATTCCTATTTGCAGATGAGAAGATAGGCTTAGAAAAAAATAACACATCCAAGATTAACCTTTACACCACCATCTACATTGCTAATTCAGTGACTAATCTAGGAGTATCATTTTAAGAATTCATTCTTTTAGGACAATCCCATCATATAACTGACTCTGTAGTCAAAATGAGAATAGAAGATTTTTTTTTAAGAGGCCATGGATGAAATAAGCCCAACATAAACCTCAATGCTACTCATAAAGAGTGTCCAAATAAGACCTAAGTGACAAGATTCCCAGGACTTCTGCCTTTTTAAGATAATGGAACTTTAAACATCCTGATGGTACTATCAGTTCTTGTGAGAATGAGTCAAGAAAAAATATTGGATTCAGAGTCACAAAGGACAGACTTCAATTCCAGCTCCACTGATCTCACTATGTCATAGTCTTCTTTATATTCTCTATAAATATGAAAGTGGTACCATCTTCTTTCTCTGAAAACTTAGAGTTGAAGGTCAAGAACCAGGGAAGGAGGAGTTGTTTTCACATATTCAACTTATTAAAAGTTTTCCTTTAAGACCATGAAAAAATTGCATCAATTGGTACATTACAAAAATAAGAAGTATTCATATACATTTTTCTCAGTGGTTTAGTAGGTAGAAGAATTAAACAATTATGAGGTCAGGTGTTGGAATAGGCAGATCACTCAATGGTACAACCAGCTTCATGGTCTGACAGTGGTAGGGCTAAGGCCAGTTTTGGAAAACAGGATTCCTGTCAAATCATTCAAAGAGGCAGATGTATCAGATGGATATTACACCATTTATTTAGTTCTTCCTGACATACCTCTGCTTAGCAGAGTCAGATTTCTTTCAGGGCCTAACAATCTATTGATGTCTCTTTACCAGAGATATTGAAAAAATACTGAATCAATTTTCACAAGTGGCTTCTAGTCATTTTCATTCTTGAAGACTGTTACCATCAGCCAGGTGTGGTGGAGCGTGCCTGTAATCCCAGTGATTTTGCTTCCAACTCAGGGAGGGCTGAGGCAGGAAGATCTAAAGTTAAAAGACAGCCTCAGCAACTGAGACCCTGTCTCAAAATTTAAAAATAAAAAGGCCTGGGATGTGGGTCAGTGGTTAAGTACCCTGGGTTAAATCCTGGGTATAAAAAATTTTTTAAAAAAAGAAGCATGTACTGTCCAAGAGATCTTCATTTTTTTTAAGTTGTATATGGACACAATCTCTTCTATTTATTTTATTTTTATGAGGTAATGAGGAAAGAATCCAGTGCCTCACATATCAAGTGCTCTACCACTGAGCTATATAGCCCCAGATCTTCAAGCTTTTTTAAAAAAAATTATTTTTTAGTTAGTTACACATGACAGTACAATGATCTTGACATATCATACATTTGAATCAAATGAGGTATAATTACTCCTTTTTTCTGAGTGTACAGGTTGCTGAATCACATTGGTCATACAGTCCCATATATACATACAGCAATACTAGTGTCTATTTTATTCTGCTGTCCTTCCTATTTTAAAAAAGATCTTATTATAGCCATACATTTATGGTGCCTTAGAGTACACTTGGCATCTCTGGGTAGCTCTTCTTTAGTAAGAGATAAGGGCTGGTTTAATGTCTTCCATTTGCCTGAAGACACTAAACCCTCACTTTCAGCCCTCACTCCACAACCTAAAGATCCTGCCTATCTTTTTTCAGGAACAGGGTATTCCGTACAAGATGTGCAGACCCCAATGTGGAGCAGAGTCAAGGCTAGACACAGAAATTAGAATAACTCTAATAATGTAATTGTGTTCCTTGTTTCCTATTAAATTGAGGCTTTCATCCATCTCTACTAGATCTCAGAAGAAAAAGGATCTGAATGCATCTCTCATTACTATTAGTTAAATTATCAGAGTTTTAAAGTATATATCCTTAGGCATAGAGACCAGGATTTTAGTTCAAAGGAAACAGAATCAGAGTTACAACAAAGAAGATCAATCTTTTACATGAAGCAGATGGAATTCTGAGTATCAATTTTTTTTCCTTTTCCTGGACTGATGAGTTTCATTTCAAAAATTAATCTCCATGCTGTTCTGAAACCAGTGTCCCACTGGGTACATAGTGAGCAACACTGCTAAAATCTTAGTACAAAACTTGGAACAACATACAGAAAACGAATAGGGCTTTAGCTGGCATTATAACTGTAAGTACCTGCTTCTTTCCCCTTTTAAATGGGGTATTGCCCTCAAACAGTCCCTGAAATTTGTGGCTGAGACAAGAGAGTGTAAATCAATAGAGACATAATTCATCCCAGGTGGTATGTTTGAGAAGTGACCTTTCCAGCTGAAAGGGGAAAAAAAAAATCTCTTACCAGTGTATGATATAAAAGGAAAGCTATCAGAATGTCAAGAGCAGGATCAGAGGACAGAGCTGCCTGCTCTGCTGGGGCAGAGGAGGCTGACAGATACTAATGGGGTTTTATGTGGTATCAGAAAGCAACCTGATCACAGCCATCTCAGGTCATGCATTGCAGATGAAAACTGCTCTGTCAGCCCAAGTGCCAAGGAGCTTCCAAGACCTCTGGCCTAGACTCTTGGCATTTCCTGTTCTGCTTCTAACTCGGGGAAGATGTGCTAAGTATTGAGAGAGATTATCAGTTATACAATACCAGTGGATTAAATGACAGGAAATACAAATAGAACATGAGAATGAGAATAGAGGAGGGGAGAGAGAAACATTGATCAGGGTGAGAAGTAGCGGTGCTCACTTCCCCTACTGCTGAGAGGGTTATTCTATAAACCACTTTGCAGAATAGATCAGTGTTATATTAAGAGTCTATGGCACAGGAGCCATGGCCCACACCTTCCCCATCCAGCCAAGGGTGACAGATGCTCCGGGGGGGGGGAGGGAATAGACTCAGTGTTACCTATTAATATTGCTAATGTGTGTATTCTAAAGATCCAGCCATTCTGCTCTGGGTTCTTTCCCCTACATAAGACCCATGGCTTTAAAGTTCACATGGAAAAAAATATACAAGAATCAAGATAACTGAAAAAGAAGACCAAGAATGGATGAGTGTTTGCAGCTTCTGGTGAAGGGACAGAACAATAAATTATAAGTTAATTCTGTATTCCAGTACTAATGGAATAGTACTGGCATGGGCACAAATAAAGGATCAACAGATCTTAGAATATAACAGAAAGCCCAGAAAAATGGGCAGGGGAGTTGACAGTAGAATAAAGGCTGTGTTATGGCTTAGATGTGAGATATCCCCCCAAAAGCTCATTTGTGAGAAAATGCAAAACAATTCAGAGGTGAAATGACTGTGTTATGACTACATTAACATTATCTGTGCATTAATCCACTGACAGCAATTAATTGGGTAGTAACTATACATAGGTGGGGTGTGGCTGGAAGACATAGGTCACTGTGCAGCTGCTTTGTTGAGTTCAGCTTAGTCTCTGTGTTTTCTGGTGGCCATGTCCTGAGCTGCCTTCCTCCACCACACTCTTCTGCCATGATGTTTTGCCTCACACTGCACCCAGATCAGTGGAGTCAGCCATCTATGAACTGAGACCCTGAAACTGTGTGCCCCCCGCCAAAAGGTTTCTTCTTCTAAAATTGTTCTTGTTGGGTCTTTTGGTCACAACAATAAAAAAGCTGACTAAAACAAGTAGTATTTCAAATTACTAAGGAAATGAGGCCCTTATAATCATCATCTATCAAACAGCAACTGGTTGAATAATAGGGAAATGATCCAGTTGGACACTAGAAATTTAACATTATATGAACTCACAAAATATATTAGGATTCCTTAGGTGGATTCAATCTGAAGCAAGTTAACTGAGGTTTTCTGTCTCATGATGCAATTTCACATTGCTGTAGAAAGTGGGGGTGCACTCTTGAGGCCTCTGCTTCTTGAAGTTTTACCTTGGACTTTTATTGTTATTCATGGTCCTATGTGCATTTCCACAGAGCTGAGAGCAGCTGGTTCCTTGTTTGCCTCTAGCAACCTGGGGTTTCACTGGTCAAGGACTACTTCCCATTCATCTCCACTTTCCCCATTTGAGGTCCTATAAACATTTACTGAAGTAAAAGTAAGTTAAAGGCATTTAAATCAGTTTGGCAAGAAGATAATTACTGATCTAGTGGGACCAATTCAGGCTCTCAGACATACCCCAAGACACTCTGGCTGTGTCTACTGATGAGTGGTGGAAATCAGCCATCATTTTTGAGAAAACAAATAAGAATTATTGCAATGGAAATTATTCCACAAAGAACAAACAATCCCACGGGAAGTGTTTATGGATGAGGTAGAGGGAATAAAGTCTACACTATTATCCCACAAAATGCTTCCAAAGGGCTGTTGCATATTATATAATGCAGAATGCCTTCCATTTGTCATTCTTCTGCAGTGCCTAGGGAACGAAGGGCATTTATGTAATCTGAATACACTTATATGGGAATAAATATGGTTAAAAACAATATATACTAAGTTG